GCAGAATAGCCCTCCCTGGTGATGACCCCTTCTTTCCATTGGGTGTAAGCCTCCTTTTTAGCAAGGAGATATTCCCGGATGCTTTTGGTGAGCCATGGAGGCTTGTGTGCTCTCCTGCTCCCTTTGATCCTCGTTGGGATTACCTTCCTTTGGGATTGGAGGTCACTCTACAGTGATTTAGCAATCATGTATGTCTACACATGATCACCAGCTACGTTGCCGTAGCAGCACACTCCCCAGCTATTGTGTGCTGCTATGGCAATGCAACTGCAAAAACTAAGCATGTGCTGCCTACATGGCACAGTAACAGCCTGTATTGCACTGTTTTAGTACTTCCAAGGGGAAGTACTAGAACACAGTGCTGTAGCTGTCACCATATAGACGCACCCAGTCAGGACAGTTAAGACCAGATGTAGCACTGTGCTAATACTGCTATATTGTTCCCCCACAGAAAAACTTTTAAAGTTCCTTTGCCATAAAGTTAAAAAATCTCATTGGTAGGAGAAAAGCCACTGGTAACAAAATGACTAGATGTTTTTTCTTTCAAATAAAAAAATGTAGGGATTGGACCAAAAGCAAAGGGAAGTTACTGGTAGAAAAGATTTTAGAGTTCAAATGTATTGTTGCCTGTGGGAGTCCCTGCTTTAATTTTTGTGTTCTCTTTTTCAGCTGGTTCTATTTTCTTTCTCTTTTTTTTTTGTCCCATCACTTTGTATCTTGGCATCAGAGGTCTCAACTAAGGTTATAGCCCTATTGGCTAGGGCCAGAAGTTGCACACAAACTGGTTTAAATGATCAGAAACTGATTTAAACCTGTAACAGAACAGAAGTTCAGTGCACATAAACCAGTTTCAAAATGGTTTAAGATAAACTTGGTTGAATATCAGACTTAACTGACTTGAGTCAAACTTGTTTATGCAATGTTTGTCCCAGATTGAATCAACTCAGGCTTTTTGAATGTCCCTAGCCATTTAACCTAGCCCTGTGCTGGGTTTACAGCATTAATAGGGAGCAAAGGCAAAATGTGCAAGAAAACAGACATAGCAGAATGATGGTTAGGAAAGTATTAGCTCAACAATTTTCTGTGTTTTCATGTTATTGTACTGTTAATGGAGGTGAGGGAGAAGTGAAGAAGCAAAAGGGAGGCAAGGAAGAAGTCTATTGTAGGGCAAAGTAGTAAGGATGATAGGGCAAGAAAAGTGGTGGGAAGGACTAAGGGTATGCAGAACAAACCTGGCAGGGAGTGCGGGGGGGATTATGCTGGCTTAAGAACAAAGGAGAATGTCCAGGATATAAACCACACAGGCCATCGTTGGATGACACGCTCAACGTCTAGGGGTAATGAAAGAGCAGTGGTGCAGTTACTGCCCCAGGGCCATCTTTAGACAGGCGTCCATGCTTCTGAGATTGCTTTTTACTTAGGAAGCTTGAACTAAGTTGGCTGGTAAAAGCTGCACTGGGAATTGCTGCATGTTTACTCGGCCTATTGTTCCTTGTTGCTAATGTTAATTTTACTTAATGAGAACAATTTGGTATGATTTGATGTAGGATTTCAGGTACAACTGAGGAAATGGCATTAGCAGAAGTGAGCATGGGAAGTTTTATGGTATATGAACTGGTGAGACAGATAGAGCACTACCTTACTCAACAATGAGAAAATGCAATTAGTTTTTTAAAATAAAGTATTATGCTGATCCAAGTCTATGTCCCACTCAAAGCTGTTTAACAGAACAGCTCTTGGGGATGAAGGATCATCATGGGGCCAATATCTCTGGCTGTTAGTGTTTATGTAAATGACCCATGGCCATGCTAGCTATGGACTGCCAAGGGTTGATTTTTACCCTTAGTTGCATTTCAGCACATTGAACTGTCAGACATGTCTCTAATTGAGCTCATTTTTATATTAGATTCATTGGTGAATGTTAAATCCTACAATTTTTAAAGGCTTAGAATAGGAAAAAAACAGATTAATCTCCTTTCAAAAGGCATGGCAGGGTGGCACTGGTTCAAAGAAGCAAAAGCTTTCATAGGCAACTGCTCTGAACTAGTTAGTCTCTACAGCTCCACCCTGTCCTGCCTTCTGCCCAACTTCAGACTAATAAAGATAACCTTTTCTTCCTTTCAAAGGAAACTTGAATCTACTATTTAAAATAATAATGTAAATGTACTTATTAAAGACATTAAACATGATGTTCCCTTAGCAATGTGTGCAATATGTTCAGTTTTAAAACAATGTCCAGTTTAAATATTCAAATACATATTAAGGCCTTAAGCTTGTAGACGGACAAATATATGCAACTATAAGCAAGGTACACACAAATCTTTGCAAGATCAGGCTGTGAGGCCAAATTTTCAAAAGCGCCTAAAGGAAGTTGGTACCTGCAGTGAGGCACAGTACCGAATTCCCAATTAAAGAAGAAAACAATATTCCAGAGGAGCTGTGCCCTAAAGGCACATTGACAGCATCAAAGCACCATGCCAAGGGAGTGCCATATTCAATCAGGGTATGCCTACTCCATGTGTCCTACAACCTGGAACAATGCAATTTAGGCAGTCCTGTTCACTGCAGTGTCCCTGTGGTATAAATGCACCCTAATCTCCCCCCACTCCTCCCTCCCTCCCTCCCCAACCTGCAATTTTTTTTTTTTATTTTCTTTTTCCACAGGTGCTGTCAGTGTTGAAGCATCCATTGATAGCATTCAAACAACAGAGGCATAATGAAATGTTAAAAATATACTTCATCTTTTCTGTGCAGTTTCTTCTCAAAGAGGTAAGCTTTCATTCTGTTTGGTTAAGAGAGAATAACTAGAATAACACTCAGTTATCTTGTTTTATTAAACAGTAATAGTGATAAACCCAGAAATCTTACAAGCTGTACTGTTCCACTCAGGTCATTATAGTACCACTTATTTTATGTTCCACCACAACAGCATTCAGGCACTAGTTAAAAAAAAATGAAGATGAGAAGAGAGGAAAGTAGCCCTTAAAACATAGTGGTTTACCAAATCCCTAAATTTACGTTAAGTTTGTTCAATTTTTTAAAAAAAAGATAGCAACCTTATTGTATATGTAATAGGTATGATCAAGAATGTTATACAAGGCAAAATATCAGATATGGTATCTGCCCCTGTGACTTGCTAAAAGTGCACACACAAAAGGTGAGTTTCTGAACCTTCTGAAAATGGAAAGAACTATGAAAAAAACAGGTTATTAAAATTACAATAGTAGCAAAATCCAAAATACAACTGTTAAGGACTAAAGAGGAATGGCTACAGAAGAGTTGTGTACCTCTGCATGCTAATGTTTCCATTTTGGCAGCGTCTCCTGAACTCTGTTGTTAATTTCAGCCCTGGCCAGCATCCCACAACTATGGGCAGTGGGAAACAGCTGTAATGGCTTTGTGATGTTTTTCCCAGTGAAGTGAAATACCTCTTGGCACCTTACAAGGGATTTCACAAGAACAGCACTTAGTTTAATTCATGTAAATGTGATGCTAACAAAATATTTTAATAACTAGGGATATCTGGATCAAGAATGTAAACCCATGGGATTTGCTGGACTTGTATGCCATTTACATTATCATGAGCCTTCAAACTTTGTCCTAGTCAGCTTTCTTGTCAAAGGATTATTCCACAAATTGTGCCAGCCAATTAAAGGTAAGTTAATTTCCCATACGCTTAATTAAACTGCACTTGCAGATGATTATGAGTTTTAAGTGACCTATAGTTGCCTTAGTACAAGTATAGAACATGCAGCACATATACAATTAATAGAATAACAGCTGTGTATTCATAAAGTTTCAAGAGTGGCACAGTTGCATGTTCCATTCCAGTGGGTGCGCCTACATGAGACATTTACTGTAGAGCTGCCTAATTAGCTCTGCAGTAAATGTCTTTGCATCTACATGTGGCCCTACTAGAGTGCATGAAACTGATAAGCTCATAAAAATAAATAAAAGTTCTAGCCTGCTCTGGGGTTTTTTCATGTGCACTAGAGCATGTGTAGATGTTGACCTGGCTGACTGGGGCATGAGGGTGCTTCAGTGCAGGGGCTGCCTGCTGGCTAGCCCCACACTGAAACATGGTCGTGCCCCAGCCAGCCACTGCACAGTATGTTCAGCCTGGTCAGAGCAGGCCTGGGTTACTACCAGCTGAGGCTGCTCTGACTGAGCTCAATGTGCTGCACACGAATAAACTCTGGAGCAATATATTCTGGACTGTTTTGCTCCTGGGTGAATGTTCAAATGGCATGCCTGGGAGCAAAAAACTCAAGAACAGTAAGCCTGAGTTTATTCATGCACATTAATTGTATGTGTAGATGTGTCCAGATAGTGAAAATATAAGCTGGCTTCAAGTGAATAACTTTTGATATCAGTGTTGTGACAGGGTGCAGGCTTACAGCCTGGAACAATTAGCCGGCCAGTAGCAGGATGCCCGCCTAAGGGACTGGAGCTGGATCAGTCTCTTAGCAAATGAGGGAAAGTTGACTGGCTGACCCAGAAATAAAAGGGGCCTGGAAGAGGAAGTGGGAGAGAGGACCTGGAGGTAGGCTTGTTTGTGTGGAGTGGCAAGTCTCTCCAAAGAAGAAAGGAGAGTAGAGGGTGAGAATTAACCCATGCTTGTGGGTGTTCATTGTGGATTGTTTGTATTTTTTGTTGAGCTCTGTGGTGTGGATTAACACAGGGCTTGAAGCTTACGTTGGACTGTTTAAATTTTCTGCTGAGCTCTGTACTGCAGAAGAACTCAGGGCATTATTGCCTGTGTTGTGAAGCGCCGAGAAAGACTGGTTGGGACCAGATTATGGGAGTTAGATCAAGGATTCAAGGACTGATATGAGCCTGGTGGTGCTAGGCTAGCCAGATGCCCCATTACAGTTAACAAAAATTGTAAGAAAAATAAAACTATACTGTAGTGGTGGAATGGCCATAGTTCTAGTGCACTATGGATTGCAGCAGAGTTCTATTTTAAGCTCATTTTGATTCCTCACTTCTCACATTCATGAAACTACATCCAATGCCAGGGAAAACGTTTTAGCCACCAAGGGAGACTACCATCTAGTGGTGCCTGCCAACTGTCTTTTGTCATGGGCATGCTTATGACTCCTGGTGACAACTGATAAGGGAAGCACCTTCATGGTTTGACATGGATCAGGATTTTGAGCAGCTTGGTAGCTGCGGGGCAGTATCAGGACTTAAATGGCTTTGCAAGTGCCCTCTGAAGGACACTTGGGCACCTATGGAAATAAGTAGCATCTGAATGGTGGTTTCTGGTCTATTAGTAGTACCTGCCTGGTGGACTAAATCCAAGGGTATGAACAGATATAACCGGTGAAACATCTAAAACACCTTTGGAATGATTCAGGGGGCCAACTGTACAAACATACAACTTTTAAAAAATGTTCTGTAAAAGTAGCTGAAATGCTCTGAAATAGTACTATTTGAAATTAAGTAGTATTTTTGACCGTTTCACTTTTGGCTACATCTGCACAGAATCAGTGTCCTGCACAGAGGGAGATTGGGGTGGCTAGCTTGCTTGCTAGCTAGCCAGCCACCAGATTCCCCCTTCAAGTCCTTGTGGCACGGTCAGTTCCTGACTCAAACCTCACAGCCTGTATCTCCATCCCTGGCAGACCTGCAGCTGGGCTTACCCCCTACCAGACTCTTGCTGACTTCTGGGTCCCCTGCTACTGTTGCAGCCAGACACTCCAGCCCCATGCCCCTCTACCTACTTGGCTGAGTCAGGGAAAGGAGAGGTAGGAGGGTCTGGAGCTGCAGTGTCAGGCTCTCAGCTGGAAGGTCTAGGAGCCTCTGCCATCTCCCTTAACCTATCCCCTTTGGGCTTTCAGCTCTCCCCTCCTATCCCTGTGGGGGCAAGGGAAGCAAGAACCAGAGCTGCAAGTCGCTACAGTCTGCTTGAGTGTCCCCTGCAAAGGAGGCTGTAGTGTTTAAAACCTTACAGCCAGGAAATCTGATTTGAGACTTGATTTGCAGATGTGACAAGCACTCCATACTTTAACTGAAATCTTGGGACCTGTGCTTGAACATATCAGGTGCTGGGTACCCTGGATTAGACACCTGAAATAAGTAGCTAACTTTGATTTTAAGCTCCCTGTGCCTCAGTTCCCCATATGCAAAGTGGAGATGATACAATTTCCTGATCTCACAATGGTGCCATGAAGCAAAACATTCTTGCTTGGGAAGCACCAAGTCTGAAAAAGTGTTAAGTGTTACAGAAAGAAGCCTATGAGGAAATTAATAAGTCCATTTTCAAAGCATGATTTGAATTGTGCACATCAATAAGATATAGGGCCACACATTGAAAGAAGTCAAATCTTTTGTTTTCCATCTGATCATTAGAGGAGCATTCTTTATTTTGGGCACTGACTGAGGTAGGGGTCAGAAAATATAGTTTATGATCACGTAATTGAGGACTGTATTGTAATACATATGCACAAGGGAGAAAAATTAAGGTTGCTTATATGTTTCTGTCATTTCCTAACTATGGGTTCTTGACTTAATTTTGGTTTTCTAGTAACACAGAATTTTGTATATAATGATTGATTCATTTTCCTTTACTGCTTGTGGAGGCCTTGCTTGCAGAAATAAAACAAAACAAAACATTTCTTTAAAAATTGGATGACTGAGAAAGCATAAAAAATTTGCAGGTGTACAGAGTCTGAAACTGCTTCTCTTTTTTTTTTTAAATGACCAGCTTCAAGTTGGAACTGTATTTTAAATACTCCTTTTCTTGTTTTGCATATTTGATCAGTGTACTTTGTTTGAATAGGTTCAACTGTTTTCTCTGAAAATGTGATGGAAGAATTAGTGTTAGTGTTAGCAAACCTATTTGGAAGGATATATTTACCAGCTTGTGCTATGAAGTTTAGGAAGAAGTTTTATCAGTCAAAGGTAAGCAACAACTTTCTTTTCTATTATGTGTATTGCAGTTGCAGAGAGAGGTCCCAATTATGGTTCAAATTTCATTGTTTTAAGTGCTGAACATGCATATAATGAAAAGATGGTCTCTGCCAGAAAGTACTAATCATTACTACTAAAATACCTGAGGACCATGTTATGTGAAAAATTACCTTATCTGCACTCATTACAGAGACGACGTGGCTGCTTACATAGTTCTTAGTAAGCTCCTGTTTAAATTTTTTTATTTGATAAATAGTTCTTGGCTAAGAGGTTCTAAACATTATTCCTTTATCCCTACCCCAAGTTTAAAAGTGCTTCCACTTTTCTCTTTTAAAGTGCAATCTCCTGATGTTAGAATGTAGCTGGTAAAATAGAGAGAGGTTACCTGGTATTATTGGAGGGCAATGTGCCATAAATCCAATGTTTATATTTAGTCCATGAATACCACGTGAGGAATTGCTGGGTATAAAATGAAAATCCCCATGAATTGCACACCATTAGTTACAACATAGCATCTTTCCCTGGAACCCATATAGAAAATTGTCAAGCAATTGCAACCCAAAGTAGAAGACCCCATTCTTAAAAAGAGGTTTCCAGAATCATCCATCCTAGCCTTTAAACCAGGGGTGGACAATTATTTTGGGCGGAGGGCTGCTTACTGAATTTTGGCAAGCCATCGAGGACTGCATGACAGGCAGTCAGGGGCAGATATATATTAATTTTCTAAATTGTTCAGGGGCCCTGCAGGCCGGATAGAATGGCCTGGCGGGCCACATCCAGCCCATGGGCCACATTTTGCCCACCCCTGCTTTAAACAAACACTGAACACCGTGCCAACCTCATCACGAGAAGCAGACTTTGGGCAAACTTCCCATGGCCCAAAGCTCACTGAACTGATCCACACTATGCCAGGACAAGAAATGTAAAGCCTGCCAACACACTATCACACCCCACAACAGAACCATCACCACTCCCGGATCTTACACCTGCACCTCCAGAAATGTATTACATTTTATCCAGTGCACTAAATACCCTGATGGAAAATACAGAGGAGAAACCAAACAATTCCGTACCAAAATTAACATGCACTGAAAATCTATCAAAGATGAAAGTGTACAATTACCTGTGGGTGCTTCTCACAAGACAAGTTCTCTATCCAGTTTCTCAGTTCTAATCCTCAAAGGGAGTTTACAAAACACCTTTTGTAGATGAGCCTTCAAACTTTACTTCCTAAATCTACTGGATACAAAAAGTCCTGGATTAAATATCTGACAAGCCTTGCTATAGCCTTCCCGTTAGAACTATACACCATCATTGTCAATCTGAAGATGGGTGTGAGGTCATATATGTACCCTGACCATTTGGTAGGCTAATGTGTGTAGCCATCTTGCACGTGAATTCTCAGGAACTGTTTCCCTTCTAGAGGGACAGAATCCAGCTAGATCTAGACAAATTGCAGAGGTGGGTGGATGAGAATAGGATGGAATTCAATACAGACAAGTGCAGGGTACTGTATATGGCTGGGGTAATATGACCCTGGCACTCATGCCTGCCCTGGGGCAGGGGGTTGGACCTGATGATCTGCTTAGGTCCCTTCCGACTCTAAGCACTATGATACTTCAGCCAACTAGGCTATTGCTCCTCTTAAGTGGCAATAGCCTTTGCCCATCTTGATGCCTAATCACCAACCACTTGACCAGGTAATACAAGTCCCTTATAAAACAAAAAAAATACACCTACATCAACTATCATGGTTCATACAAACATGAAAATGATAAAATTAAATGCAGCTTAACATTAGCTGGAAATAGAAACCAAATAGATTAGTAAACTTCCTTTATGAAAATATCTATGCCTAACATCTCATGGGCACCCTAAAATACTATTACTTTGGGGGTAAGTTTGTGACAACTTTATAACAGTCATTGGCAGCTCTTCCACATGGACAATTCCCATTTAGTTAGGGGCAAACTCAGGTGTGAGAAAAATACAGAGCAGCTGCTTTAGCTTTCTGACCAGTTTCTAATATCTCAGGATCCCCAAGCCCCCACATGAGGGCATGTTGAACAACTGTGACCAACATTCATTAGGGTGCTAGGACAACTGTGGAGGGTCATATATATGCATGACTGGAGTTCCCTGTGGATTCCAGGACTCTGTAAACTCAGTACATAACTCCTCTTTGCACCAGCCTGAATCCTGCCAAATAGACTCATTGAATTCTCTGCACGTAGACACTTAGGAAAAAACGTGTAATAGGGCAGCTCTATGCCCTAGAAGCTTTGGCCCATAGGACATCACCAACTGCAGAGCAGACAGCCACCAGGTACAGCAACAGCTGTTTTCATATGTTCAGTTCCCATCAGCAATCACCACCCTAAGACAATGCCCAGGACTGCTTCACTGGTTGTGCATACCCCCCACCCCACACAGTTGTGCTACTGATAAAGAAATATTTATAGTAATTCCCTGATCTTTGCCACTAGAAATCCCTCCCCATGCCCCATTACTTCTGGAGGTGGGGGGAGGTCATTTTGGAATAGGAAGTCTGGCCCTGTCACATGGTCCATGGCATAAGGTCCACCCACTTGACACCAGACTTTGCCTCAGGCTTGCTGCCACATTGGTTTCAGAATCCCTTACTTTCATCACATGATCCACAACATTAGAAGGTCCACCCCATGACTGGGAAACACTACCCCTCCACAGGGCCTGCCCCTGAGGCCCCAAGGCACAGGCACAATCTATCAAGTAGTGAGGGGTTGTGACCCCTCTAACAACCTTCTCCACCGCCCTTGACAAATCAGTGGGGGCTCCAGGGGTATTAGACCTCCCCGAGAACAGCATGAAACCAACGAAGTCAAGGGTCACACACACATTTTTCAGAAGAGATCATTTTAAGGAAGTAGATAAAGTCTTACTCTTGTATATTGTGTGTGTGCATGGTGGGGGTAGGAGGCTGTATATGGGGGAGTGTGTGGTTGGGGGATGGGTGTGTTGCTTGGGCGGGGGGTGGAGGAAGGGAAGTACAGTGCACCCGTGCAGCAGAGGTTGCCCAGGAGGTGCAGGTACAGTCTGTCCGCCACAGCCCAGCCTGTGACTGCTTTCTGGTGTTCTGCGTGGGGCTGAGAAACCCCCCTGCCCCCACCTAGAGCAGTCCACCCCATGCTCCCACCTGCAGCTAGCCTGTGCTTCTGCCCCATGCTGCAGCCTGCAACTGCCCAGGCCCTGACCCTGGCCCCAGCTAGGGCGCACAGCTTCTTGGCAGGGCTGCCTTCCACTTGGCTGCATGCAGGTGGCTGCTGATCATGCTGGGCAGGCAGAGTGGGTGGAAGGGAGCTGGAAACTAGAGCCCTGTATGCTGGGCCAGGAGCCCCAGGCTGCTTACCACTATTTCCCCAGCTTCCCCCCCTGCACTGCTTCCCCAGGAGAAAGGGACTCAGGCATCCCTTGCCCTCTCTACCTGCCACTCTCCAGTCCCCCCACCAGAATTGGGGCTGGCTCCAGCTTATGGCACACAGCCCCCACTGCCACTGGGGGCAGCAGCAGGTGGCATCCCCAGAGTGCTCTTGGCCCACAGCAGGCACAGCCCCTTGACTGAGTCCCAGGACTTGCATGTGCTGGCAGGGAGTGAAGCCAAGACAGCTGGGCTCCATCACACATGGCTTCTGGTGGGCCACAAGCACCCTGAGGGGCTGCTGCCACTTCCCCTTCATCCATCCCCCTCTGTTCACCGCCACTTCCCCAGCTCCCACCCTGCACTCCTGCCAGCTCTGGCGCAGTGCTCCCAGCTCCTAGCTGCCATCTCCCTCCCACCCACTGCTCCTTCTCTGCCCTACCTGCTCCCCAGTGCTGCAGCAGGGACAGGAGGGGTCACTGGAGGCAGGGGGAGCCAGGCAGTTTGCTGAGGAGCTGCTGCTCAACAGCAGCATCACCACTGCCCAGAAGTTACATGCGCTGGCTGTAGCTGGGGCTCAGGCTAGGGACCTCCAGCAGGTAAGGATGCCCCAAGCAGGAGCAGGTGGGGCTCAGCCCCATGTGGAATGCAGTGGCCCACGCCATATACAGTTAATTGGTGGGCACCTGCTTGTGGGTTGAATAGTCAGCTGGCCATATTTTGCCCACCCCTGGACTAATGCCTCTTTAGATATGCCAGGGTAATAGCTAAATCAATGCTTAGTTAAATATGTTGTATGCTACTGCAGGTGTTTCTAGAAGATCTCCCAGAAGACTTCGCTGCAGCAGTTGACGAATACAACAGCAAAGTAGAAAAAAATTTTGCTTGCTTTCTTCTAACAGTTGCCAAGCTGGCTGACACAGAACAGGAATATAAACTCCCTTTGTCAAAGATAGGTAGGCACTGGGAACACCTATACATTTTAATCACTAATTATTTGCTTATGCATATTATACATTAATCTGTTGTGCACAGAAGTTGTGTTGTGAATGCCTGATAGATTAACTAATTGAAACAAGCAATGTCATTTAAGGCTTGTGAATTCAGCTATGCTAATAAGTTCCATTTGTCTTTTTTTTTTCTTTTTTTTTTTTAACAGGATATACAGTTCACTCTGTTTAACTGTAGCTTTAAAACAAAAAAAGCTAAAGCAGAATATAGCCTTTTTTGTGCTTATTCAAAGTCCCTTGTAAACAATGTTTCTTAAGTACACAGCACTATTGGGACTATGGTATTAGTAGACCCAGAACTGACTAACTCCCCTAGTTTCCATGCTTCCATGCCTTGAAAGTGAGAGTGCTAGCCAGTTTCTAGGGTGCTAATACCATAGCACCAAAACTGCTCTGTGCTTGGGGAGCTTACAGCACTGCCAGTACTGTTGTATTAGCAGCCTCAAAACTATTCAGGTCTTCTAACAGAGTGAAGCAGTTGTCAAAGGGGTGCTATCTGGGGCAGACAGGGGACTACTATTATAATTAACATGCAGTTAAGTCCAGTCCTATTAGGTTACAAAGTAGACAGGCTGAAAGAAGATGCACTAACATGGTTTATGCACTTAACTGACATACTGAAAACTGAGTATGTTACAATGTAAACAAACACACAAAGAATGGATTGAGTGTGTTATGAAGTGAAACAAATGATGCATTTAGTAGCATTCATGCAAACAGATTACATTGTTTTGTAGATTATATTTAGTAAAATGGTATAAACTATGGGGTGGAACTAACTGCTACACTTCCTCCCCTTCTGCCAATTCAAAACCATAAAAGTCACCAAGATCCCTAATCAAACCAAAAATTGACCATCTTTTTGGTTGATTGATCAAAGGGCACAATTATTTTTATTCTACTCAATGCTTGTTTTCATTAGATTTTACACAAAAAGAATATGGTCACTCCAAACTGGCCTCTTATTTGATGAGCAGCACAAAAAGTGTAACTGCAGTCTCTCCTTTCATGTGGCTGTCTGGAATGACTGATCAGGATTTATTTGCTGCTGAAAAGGTTAACAAAGTAAGTTAATTTTTTTGTAGAGGGGTTCAAACCAGATTCCAGGTCTGGATTTTAAGGTGGTGGTACTTTTTTCTCTGGCTTCTTTGCTTTAATTTAAACAGCCTCCATAAAGACCTTTGATGAAGGCCCCCTTTGAGGAATGCCTCCAAGCAGGGGAGGGGAGGCGAGGCCAGGTGGCCTCATTGCCCCCCCGCCCCCCTCAGTCCCCACTGTCATGGCAGCACTCCACCATCTGTCTGTGTAGAGCACTCCAATTGGCTCCCAAGACAGCCAATTGGAACACGAATAAAGCATAGACAAACAGACAGACTAAGGGTCTTATATATAATATTAGAATATTCATATGTTTTCAGACCATCTAAAATGGTGCGTCTAAAACTGAACAGTGCAACAATCTGTGTTCTGTTTTAGGCTGTTTTACATACAGTTGGTGTTAATATTGGAAATGCTCCTTTGCTTTGGCGGGAGAAGCATGACTATCAAGGAAGAAGAATGCCACTCAATGCTTATGCACTTGATTTCTATAAGCATGGCTCCTTGGCTGCTCTGGTAAAAGACAACTGGTATGCACTTTTGTTTAATTTCATTGTTTTTCTATAGTTGTTTGTGGAAATAAGTTAGAATTTAAATATTTTCAGTTCTACAGCCACAGTATTTGTGGTGCCACACACTGTCACAATATTATGCCCTATGCTAATTTCTTTTAATAAACAATGTTTCTAGCCTTTATGGTCACAAATAAACTTCCATCTTAAACACCCTGCACAGATAATGTGTTGATTTCTTGTGGCTGGAGACAATATCTGAGCAAGACATGACACCTGAATTGGCATAATTAGATTTTTTTTTTAGAATTAATATTGCTTTTCTGTCTATGTCCATCTACTGTCCTCAGTAGTATTATCCCCTGTGCCTTCTTTTCTGAGACTTATTAGTAGGCACTTCTTCTTATGCTGTCAGCTCATTTAGGTACATTTGTCCCATTGAGTTTGATCTCACTTATGATCCCTAACTGCTCATACTTAAAGTACATCTTAGAAGAAAAAATTCTTCCTCCCTGCTGCTTACAATGAATTTAGTTGGAATTTGTATAAAAATTCTGTATCTTTTCCCTTTCCACTAACTTGTGCCTATTTATCTGTCTTCCCTTTAAAATTGTAGATTCTTAAGGCCATTCCTTTCTTAATTCTGAGGGCACCTATAGATGAGAAGACTTGATTAATCAAGTCTATTGGAGCGTGGTAATTCCTGCAATCCAGCACCTTGCGTATCAGCATCCCCGCACTTCAAAATGGCAGTGGGGGCGCTTTATCTAAAATTTCTTGAGATTTAGATAAAGCACCCCTGCCACCATTTTGAAGTGCAGGGGCACTGACACACAAGATGTTCTGGGTGCTTTTAATTAGAGTGGCTCTTGGAGCTGCTCTAATTAAAGTGCCTCTTAACCTCCACCCTAGAGCACGTGTATAAACACCCTTAAGGATCTAGTATTTTGTGAACACTGTCATAAACAAATACTTTCTATAAAAAATTCTGAAGCACGAACTTTTTTTTTTTTATTACAATAATTACTTTCCATAAGGCCTGTTCCATACTTCAAACTAAAAACAGGAACTGTTGCAAAATGGGCAGCCTAATGCACTGTAACTGGAGGACCTTTTCTGAAGAAATTAGGGCATTATTTATAGGCAAATGAACACAGCCAAGTTTTGGGTCTATCCTATTCTTAATTAACTCAACAGCTTGGTCTACAGTTTATTCTCCATTATAGTCTGTCATGCAGAAATAAAGCAACCTGTCTCAAGAGCTGAAGTTCACAAATATATTAATTGCTTTCCCCATAAAAAGCATATTTACATTCTCACAGTGTGACAGCTTTGAATATTTTAATAGGTTTAGAATCATTCTGTAAGCATGTGCCTTACCATCTGTATAGCAAAACACACTTTTAGATCTGAGTTTACAGCACTGAAATATTTCCCCATGCTGATCCTGCAGAACTGGTTGGTTGCTGATTGTACAGCTGTTTACTCAGAGGTTTGCCTAGATCAGAGTGGCCCTCAGAGAGGGTACAGGGCTAACTTGCATCATACCTGCTGAAAAATGTGGCCCCCACTGCCCTAGAAGATTGGGGTTATTATACCACTTATTTATCCCACTTAAACCTTCTCTAACTTTATAATTTTTTTTTAGGTTACATGAAGGGGATGCTTATAAACTGCTTAAGGATTTTTTGCTTGTCATTAAATCTGTCAGGTATGATATATACTTCTATATCCTTAAATTTACTTTGTTTAGGCCCTTAAATCAATTTAACATTTTTTCTTTGTAACTCACCAGAGTATCACTTGGTGAACTTTGTGACAATCCAGATGACAATGTTGTACTGGCATTTCAACAACTGAGTGAAAGTTATGAAGCAAAACTACAAAAAGTTTAAGTGTCACAAGATTGGCATAGATTGTGGAGAACATGATACCCTAAAAGGAACTAACAACACATTACATTCTGCTTTCTGTGTAATCAGTTTTAGTAGTTTAAGTTAATACATGATTAGAAGATAAAAATCTAAAAAAAACCCTCAACCATGTTTTGTAATAGTTATAATACATTGGATTTTATTTATAAAAAAAAATCAACCTGTTTTTCTCTCTGTAAGAAAATGTTAATGTTTGCATTAGACTTGATGTTTAGTGTCCTAAATTTAATACTGCAGTATACTTATGTTTGCTTACTGTTATAGTGAGGTATGTTGACTATTTTTCAAATTAAAAGCTTGTTTTGGCTACCAAGTTTTCTGAAACATCCTGACACAGCTAAAAAAACAAACAGGAAGAAGTCAGTTTTCATTGTACTTGGGAATTTTTCTGGGCAGCTACTTCCACTTGCAGTCATTAGAGCTTCCCAAGTCCCAGGAACCACTGTGGGGGTACTTACGTGGTGCATCTTCAGAAGGCAGCACTACATCCTGTAATGAAACAAATTGTCTACAACAGCCAGTGCTGTATGTCAGCCAGCAGATGCTGGGTTTGTCTACACATGCTTGGAAAAGGTTGCAGCAATCTGAAGTGGTACAAACTTCTGTGGAAACTCTTAATTCAGATTAGAATCATCAGTTACACCTATTCAGGAGTATATAAACAAGGGTTTATACCTTTCTAAACAGAGTTTGTTGACTGAACTCTGCTACAGCTGTATTTAAAACTGCTGTTTCTTCTACCTGATCTTATATTTTATGTAGCCATTTAGATATGCAGTCTTTTTGGCAAAGTACCCTTATGAGACCTACTGGGGCCTCTCTAAACAGATATTTAAGGTCAATCCTTAGGAATACTGACAATTAACCCAAGACAAAGGAGCCATGCCTCCCCCCAGCTACATCTTACCTGCTGGCAGCTGCATGTGTAGTATTGCAGTGACTATAAGCAACCAAAGCAGTTATTGTTATTTTTCTTTCTATATAAAAAAATATTTAACCATTAAGATAAAGTTAGTCTTGTTATGATGTACTTTTTATAATAATTTTATTAGTCACTATTAGTGTTGTGACATTAATCATCTATTTTAAATTTCTTGTTGCTTAGTATTAATATATTGGACATATTAGACATATTTGACCTATTGTCTCATGACTTTAGAACTTAAATTTAGTACAAGGAAATTGCTTGTGTAAGGATTTCTGGTACGTCTGGTGTATGTGGAAAGAGGTAATGAAAGAGTGAATGATGTATGTATGTGACAATGTGAAGGAAGAGAGTCCTGTTGCAGCAGGTGAAAATGACCTTCTGTAGTTTAATGGTTAAAGGCTGCAGCAATGTCGAGTTAGCAGTCAAGGATTACCAAATACTGGATCATGTTTCACTTTGATGGCTGAAGACTGCAAGCAAGCACCCCCCTGAAGATTGCAGGCCACAAAGCCAGATCATGTCCTACCAATCCCAGCCTGTCAACAGGATATGGAGGATGGCCTTCACATCTGATGCAGCCGAATCCATAGGCTTTTATGGACAGCTCTCACTATAAAGAACGAACACAAAGACAAGGCTTTGGGTCTTTTCCACCTGCAAGAAGGAGTTTTGGGCGTGTCCAACAAGACTTGACTCCATCACTCTAGTTAGTCTGGCTGGCCACCAGACTGACCTGAGTAACCTTAGAACTTCGTAACACATTAACCTTTGCAGGACTGTCTAGCTATCTGTGTGTGTGCGCGTGTGCTTGTTTCTTTTGAATGAATAAGTATGCATGGGAATGAGTGAAGCAAATAACCTTACTGTTCTTTATTCAAGTTGCATGTTTTGTGTTCCAATAAATGTGGCATTGTGCCTTAACCCCATATAATATTCCAGCTTGTTTTTAATTTGCACTGTACGCCCTGTGTGCACAGCACATGCAGTCGACTGGATTCACCTTCTTCACTTGGTTTCAATTGGAGACAGTATAGACAAGCAGTGGCACTCCTGCAAGTAGACTTCCTGTGCTTTCAAGCAAGCAGTACTCGTGTGATTTTTTTTTCAAACACTGAGACAGGCTCAATAGTCCCTAAGTCAGCAACCTACTGCAAGTACCATCAATACTCCAAATCTGCTTGATAAAAAAG